GTATTGTATTTGTATTGTATTTGTATTGTATTTGTATTTGTATTGTATTTGTATTGTATTGTATTTGTATTGTATTTGTATTGTATTTGTATTTGTATTGTATTTGTATTGTATTTGTATTGTATTTGTATTGTATTGTATTGTATTGTATTTGTATTGTATTTGTATTGTATTTGTATTGTATTGTATTGTATTTGTATTGTATTGTATTTGTATTGTATTTGTATTGTATTTGTATTGTATTTGTATTTGTATTGTATTTGTATTGTATTTGTATTGTATTTGTATTGTATTTGTATTGTATTTGTATTGTATTTGTATTGTATTGTATTGTATTTGTATTGTATCTGTATTGTATTTGTATTGTATTTGTATTGTATTGTATTGTATTGTATTTGTATTGTATCTGTATTGTATTTGTATCTGTATTTGTATCTGTATTTGTATTGTATTGTATCTGTATCTGTATTTGTATTGTATTGTATTTGTATCTGTATTGTATTGTATTGTATCTGTATTGTATCTGTATTGTATCTGTATCTGTATCTGATTGTATCTGTATTGTATCTGTATCTGTATCTGTATCTGTATCTGTATCTGTATCGTATTGTATCTGTATTGTATCTGTATCTGTATCTGTATCTGTATCTGTATCTGTATCTGTATCTGTATTGTATTGTATCTGTATCTGTATCTGTATCTGTATCTGTATCTGTATCTGTATCTGTATCTGTATCTGTATCTGTATCTGTATCTGTATCTGTATCTGTATCTGTATCTGTATCTGTATCTGTATCTGTATCTGTATCTGTATCTGTATCTGTATCTGTATCTGTATCTGTATCTGTATCTGTATCTGTATCTGTATCTGTATCTGTATCTGTATCTGTATCTGTATCTGTATCTGTATCTGTATCTGTATCTGTATCTGTATCTGTATCTGTATCTGTATCTGTATCTGTATCTGTATCTGTATCTGTATCTGTATCTGTATCTGTATCTGTATCTGTATCTGTATCTGTATCTGTATCTGTATCTGTATCTGTATCTGTATCTGTATCTGTATCTGTATCTGTATCTGTATCTGTATCTGTATCTGTATCTGTATCTGTATCTGTATCTGTATCTGTATCTGTATCTGTATCTGTATCTGTATCTGTATCTGTATCTGTATCTGTATCTGTATCTGTATCTGTATCTGTATCTGTATCTGTATCTGTATCTGTATCTGTATCTGTATCTGTATCTGTATCTGTATCTGTATCTGTATCTGTATCTGTATCTGTATCTGTATCTGTATCTGTATCTGTATCTGTATCTGTATCTGTATCTGTATCTGTATCTGTATCTGTATCTGTATCTGTATCTGTATCTGTATCTGTATCTGTATCTGTATCTGTATCTGTATCTGTATCTGTATCTGTATCTGTATCTGTATCTGTATCTGTATCTGTATCTGTATCTGTATCTGTATCTGTATCTGTATCTGTATCTGTATCTGTATCTGTATCTGTATCTGTATCTGTATCTGTATCTGTATCTGTATCTGTATCTGTATCTGTATCTGTATCTGTATCTGTATCTGTATCTGTATCTGTATCTGTATCTGTATCTGTATCTGTATCTGTATCTGTATCTGTATCTGTATCTGTATCTGTATCTGTATCTGTATCTGTATCTGTATCTGTATCTGTATCTGTATCTGTATCTGTATCTGTATCTGTATCTGTATCTGTATCTGTATCTGTATCTGTATCTGTATCTGTATCTGTATCTGTATCTGTATCTGTATCTGTATCTGTATCTGTATCTGTATCTGTATCTGTATCTGTATCTGTATCTGTATCTGTATCTGTATCTGTATCTGTATCTGTATCTGTATCTGTATCTGTATCTGTATCTGTATCTGTATCTGTATCTGTATCTGTATCTGTATCTGTATCTGTATCTGTATCTGTATCTGTATCTGTATCTGTATCTGTATCTGTATCTGTATCTGTATCTGTATCTGTATCTGTATCTGTATCTGTATCTGTATCTGTATCTGTATCTGTATCTGTATCTGTATCTGTATCTGTATCTGTATCTGTATCTGTATCTGTATCTGTATCTGTATCTGTATCTGTATCTGTATCTGTATCTGTATCTGTATCTGTATCTGTATCTGTATCTGTATCTGTATCTGTATCTGTATCTGTATCTGTATCTGTATCTGTATCTGTATCTGTATCTGTATCTGTATCTGTATCTGTATCTGTATCTGTATCTGTATCTGTATCTGTATCTGTATCTGTATCTGTATCTGTATCTGTATCTGTATCTGTATCTGTATCTGTATCTGTATCTGTATCTGTATCTGTATCTGTATCTGTATCTGTATCTGTATCTGTATCTGTATCTGTATCTGTATCTGTATCTGTATCTGTATCTGTATCTGTATCTGTATCTGTATCTGTATCTGTATCTGTATCTGTATCTGTATCTGTATCTGTATCTGTATCTGTATCTGTATCTGTATCTGTATCTGTATCTGTATCTGTATCTTTATCTGTATCTGTATCTGTATCTGTATCTGTATCTGTATCTGTATCTGTATCTGTATCTGTATCTGTATCTGTATCTGTATCTGTATCTGTATCTGTATCTGTATCTGTATCTGTATCTGTATCTGTATCTGTATCTGTATCTTTATCTGTATCTGTATCTGTATCTGTATCTGTATCTGTATCTGTATCTGTATCTGTATCTGTATCTGTACCTGTATCTGTACCTGTGAGATACTTTTGAAACGTGACCTTGCCCGTGGCTGGCTGTACTTAATGCTCACACGATAAATATTATATAAAATTGGATATGATAATTGCCAACGAGTTGTAGCTGCATCTTGCGTGTGGCTCATTTCAATGCGCCCGCATCAGAGTTAATGATCGTTGTTGTTTATCAGTTGCAGCTAAAACAACAACAATAAAAACAACAACAACAACAACTGGCCACAAAGTGCATTGGCTCGAGGCTTGCGGCTGGCGTGCGTTGCGCAAAGTGCGCGACAGATTATAACCAAATGTGAGGAATATATAGAAATAGAATATTATTATTGTTGCGCTAAGTATAATTAAGCAGGCCGGCTTGGGGTTAATGTTATTTTTTCTATTTTAAATATAAATAATAAATAACAAACAAGGTGTAAACAAGATACAGCAGACATTGCCATCAATTGCAACGCCTTATCCCCTTTCCAAAGCTTTAACCTGTTGAGAATTGCAAGCGACAGGCAACGAATAATAGCAAAGCGAGCAAGACAGATCACGTTTTCTTTCATTTGGCAAAAGACAGTTGGTTTTAGTAACCATTTTAGCCTACTTCGGGTAAGATATATCCTGCAGGGACTTGAACCTGATTTAATAGGTATTCTGAGCGATTACTCAATGAATTTTGTACACGCGGCGCACATTTGATATACATACCTTCGCGTATCGCAATTGATATCTTATCTCTCTCTTATCAATGTCGAGTCATTATGCCAGACAAGAAAAAAAAAAGACTGCTCATTGATTAGATTGTCCCGCAGCCAGAAAACATGGCAGAAATGCAGCGAGGAACGAGGCCTATTTAATGATTCACTTAAAATGCCAACTATTTTAATTGCTAGGCTTTAATTAAGTAATCTTCCCTTCACGGTAATTGACCTTAAAACGTGACGTTGGACGTTGTAAAAAACGGTTGGAAAAGTGGCCCTTGGCGCTGATGTCAATGTTGTGGGACGCCGAGCAAGTCAGTTGGCCTAAGACAAAGCAAAGTATATATACATATATCTAACTAGCAATCGTTTAAGTATTGCCCGGACACACCCACACACACACACGCACACACATATATATATACCCTCAATTGGCTGGGGCGACCAACCTCGACCGGCTTGCCTATAAATATATATCCAAACTGTTTATATAGTATATCGTGTATCGAGAGTGAAATTCCATTGCCCATAACACGTGCCTCGGCCCGACTATTGGCATTTGTGACAGCCCCCCCCCCCCCTCTGCCTTCCCCCTCTACATTTGCCCCCCTCCCGGGCATCTATCTGCTGATTTTATCGCTGTGTTTATTTCGTCTCAAATGAGGCAACAATTTAGATTTCATTTCCTCTTAACAGCGTGGAAATCGCTGTGACAAAAGCCTCAAATCTTTTCCCTTTGCTTCGGGGGGGCTGCTTGTTTATAGACTGAACAGACTTAACATGATCTTGCAAATTAAAAAAAAATGAGAGAGAAAATAGATTGGGCCGACAATTGAATACCCTTACCGAAGTGTGCAACTTATTTTGTTATCAATCTTAAAAAGATTTTTTCTATTAAAGATTGCTATACGATATAGGAGCTTGAAGTTGATAAGATTTAGCTCGTATTTAAATAAATAAAATAAAATAATAAATAAATTTAGTTAAGTTATAAAAAGTAATTAAAAAAAAATAAAGTCTAATAATTACACAATTATAATACCCTCTGCAGGGGCAATAAAATGTGTTCCCTTAATGAGAATTATACGCGTTTTCCCAGCATTCAATTATAACAACTTTCAGTTCTCGTTAATGTCACACTTAAGATTCATTTTATTTTGCAACTGTTCCATTTCCAATTTCCATTTCCAGTTGCTGAACATTTTTCAGTTGTTTAACCGTGATTTTAGCTTATTGTTTGTTATTCACGAGAGCTTTGAATATATTTAACAATTGCCAATAGCAAATGCTGTCCCAATAATTGTTGGTCTTTAGGGGGCCCCAATAAATATGTACATATGTATATATATATATGTTGCCGACACAGTTACATGCGTTTTATTGCAAAACTTAGACGTTGCGAGTAATATTTATTTATTTGTTATTTTTTTGGCTGTTTGCATGAGTTTTATATAACATTAGCATAATACGAGGGCAGTTCAAGAAAAAGAAAAACCAATTCGTTGCCTGCACATTAAATATAAATCTACATATAAGTATTTGATCATAAAGTCAAGTTGGTCACACTTCGCTTGAAGAAGATGGCGCCAGGCGACTTAATTCCAATTAGAATATAAGCAACGAAAAACATTGTACAATGTCTGCTTGGGCTGCCCTCGCAATTAAAAGCGCCAACAAAAGAACAGAACAGATTTTGTGCTGTACTCACCCCATTATACAGATAGCCGTTATTCCGATTGATATCCATGTTGTTGATGCGTGCCGCAGGCATATCCGCTATGTTAAGCGCCTCGACGGCGCTGAGATCGATTTGTGGCTTTCGTGACGCGTACGCTGGCGTCGCGCTGCGCAATGGATAGTGGGAGCAGCTCAGCTGCTGCTGCTGCTGCTGCTGCGGTTCCAACTGGTCTGAAGGCTGCTGCGCATCCAATTGGAATGCCAGCTGACGACGTGCAAATAGGGGCGACTCTTTGGCGCTTAGCGTACCCAAAGAGACGGCGCTCAACGGCTGATGCTTGTGCTCCACGGGCCACGTGTCCTTGCAGTAGCTGGTGTGCGCGATATGGCAACGCACGCAGGCACAGCTGCTGCTACTGGTGTTGTTAGTGTTGTTGCTGTTGCTGCTGCTGTTAAGATAACTGAACGACTTGGATTTGGTTTGGACGATGTTCAGTTGCGCCTGGGAGTCGCAGAGGTTGCGGCGTCCGGCAGAGGATGAGACAACGCTGCAGCGAATAACGCCGGTTGCCATGCAGGGGCGTGGTATAAAGGGGGATCTGTGTTATTGCTCTTTAGACTTTGACAAATTGTTGTTGTTTTATCACTCCACTTGTCTCTGTTTGTGTGCGCTAGTCAAGGTCATTCGCACTCGCTTTATCTACATACACATACACACGCATACACACATGCGTTTTCTGTCTCTGTGTGTTTGCTCTGTTTTGTTTAACTTGAGTTATACGGTTTATTCTGCCGTGCGGACTCTAACGGCCCAGCAACATGTGGTTGTCGAAAAATTATATATTGCTTTCTCCCTCTCACTTTGCTCGAACGGTAATTAAAGCGCCTGCACTTGAACTTTCTGCTGCTGCTGTGTTGGCGCGCACTTATCAAAATCGCATTCAATTTTAATGCACAAATTTTTGGTAAGGTTATCTCTCTTTCTGGCACTTCGAGTTTATTGAACTCGCGTTTTGGCTGCAATTGCTGCACTTTTGACCAGCGCCAAATGTCAAGTTAACTAAACAATTGCAAACTGGTTTCGCGCTAAGAAATGGAGCACTAAATTGAGCGCGACAAACATTTAACATTCACAACGCCAGTTGCATAAGACTTTATTGTTATTTTAATTGTTAACGCTGTTGTTGTTTTTGTCGCTCCTTGGCGTTAATTTAATATCACTAAAATGAAATTCACACACGTACAAAAGAGACACGCAAAGAAATGACGCTCGCTTCACTTTACACAAGCAACAAACAGAAAACAAGCGCAGCAGGTCCGCACGCCGTTGCGTTCAATTGTGAACTGAACGCAAAGCTGTGTGGAAAGCTTTACACAAGCGAAACGGTTAGTCGAATAGTCGAAACGGTTATGCGGGTAACCGTTTAGCTGCTGCGCGCCAATTTGTTATTTGAATTTATCGTTAACAGAAAAGAGAAGGGAATATACTAAGCGAAAATGCGAAGTGTGGCAACTCTGAATAAGTTTGAACTTTTACATTAACAGTCTTTGAATTGATGGACAACAAGGATTAGTATTGTGATGTTATAACAATTTATATTCTCAACAGCCATTTGTTAACTTATAATTAGTTTTCATTGTATAGATACAATGCACATTTTCACTGCGAGGTTATCACTGGCGTTTTGCATAAAAGTAGATGCTTGTAATTCTTTCAATCTCCTTTTTTTTTGGCAGATATAGAAATTAAATGTTATTTCTATTACCGCCGATGTCTACTTAAGCTACTTTCTAAATATAACAATGCTTTTGCGCAGGAATATCGTTTCCATAAACGTAAGTTGTACATTAAAGCAGAAGGCCTAAACAATCTACCTAGTTAAGGTTTTATAGTAATTGACAAGACACTTAAATAATATTAACAGGTAATAAATATAAAACAGAAGTAGCTAATAGAAATGTTCGAAATGGAGCTAATGGTCAACATATTCGTCCGATTAAAACAATGTGGTTTGTGCGCGCATAAGACATTTTAGTATTGCTTTTAAAAATCAGCCCCGAAATTTCAGGCTCATTTATCATTGTTAACCGTCAACAGCTCCAGCTGCCGGCGTTTCTTTTGTGCCAACATGAAATGCGAGACATTCTCATAGACCAGGAACGTGATCATGCAGGCGGGCACCACGCGTATCAGGTTCGCCTTGAGACCCTTGTAGAAGCCAATGGCGCCCTCGTATCTGCAATGAGAACGAAGCAAGTGTTGGGTATATATGAGTAAATGCTGACCACGATCTTACCTCCTACTTACAATTGCAATTGACAAATTGACCTGTGTTTCAGTTTAGCAAAGAGATTCTGCACAATTCGAGAGAACTTTACACATACGTATATATAGATATATATATATACTACTTACTTTCGGGCTGAAGGCGAAATAAATAAAGACTCGTGTTGAGGAGGACATGGAAACGCTTGTTTGGTTTCTTGGCATTTTAATGTGTAGATTTCTAGTTACTTTTTTTTTTACTACTTCTTTTTGTTTTGTCTTGAAATTGTTCTGTTTTTCGTTTTTGTTTCACATTTTAAATGTAACTCTAAATGTCACGGTTATTTTTTGAAAAAAAAAAAAACAAATTATGAAGAATCTTTTTGCCAAAACGAAAATTAAGTATATGCCTAACTAGAACATATTTACATTTGCAATTAATTCAAATAAATAATTTAACTAAACTATTAACTAGAGTTGTGCAAATTGTTGAAATTAAATTCCAATATTTATAGCACACACGCTACTTTTCAAGTTTCTTCGAATCATATAGTATACACAAACACATAGTATACATTCTGTCTAACTATGGAATTAGCTTAAAACTAAATATAACTATCGCTTAAATGATAAATGAAAGTAGCAGTAGTTAAAGTATAAGTAAAACTTAAACAATAATACAAATTATGATCCGCTTTGTCATTTGCTGCTGCTGCGTTCCGTATAGATTCATGTTGATATATGTATATGTAGTTTATATTCAATGTTGGTGGTGGCTACTTTCTAGTTTTTAACTAATACTAATACTCGTAACGCTTAGCTGGTCAGCTTCTCCCAAATGAGCATGACCATGCAAATGTTGGGCGTTACGTGGACCAGGTACGGCACGAGTCCCTTATAGAAACCGCGCATGCGTTCGTACCTCCAAGTCTGTTGAATGCAGTCCCAGGTGCCGCTATAGCGATGATGATGATCCTGCAGACGCGCTCGCACCACCTGATATGGGTATGTGGCCGCGGCGGCAATCAGCTTCGATATCGCCGCAAATGCCAGATATTCGCTGGTCGCCTGTGAACATGAGAAAATCAACAATTTAGTCAAGCAGAGGTCCATTAATTAATGTGACTTTTGAACAGCTGCCAAATGGCGCGGGCGTCATCATATGCATATACATATGCATATACGTATATCCATATGGCAACAACTGGCACGCGCGTTTAGATCATGTGATGCCGCCATTCCCGTCTATATATACACACCAGTTTGGTATCGATGGGCAGCTTGCGGTATTCGTTGTAGGCGTTCTTCATCTCCTCGTAGGTCATGAACTGTATGGCGCCGTGGGAGACGCCCAGCATGCCGGGCACAAAGCCTCTGTATAGGCCACGCACGCCCTCCGTCTTGTAGATCTCGGACAGGGCATGCACCATGCCGCGATATTCGGAGCTGCTCGCCGTGTCGCACTGCAGGCACAGGCGCGTCTTCACCACCCAAATGGGATTGGTTAGGAGGAGCGTGAGGGCGCCCGATTCGGCGGCGGCCAGCATGTGCATGGCGGGACCCAGAGACATGGTCGTATTGCCGCCCTGAATGAACGTCTTGATGGTGTTGTAGCTGCGGGGTGAAACAGAGATTAAGAGTTAAACAGGTTCAATTGCGAAAAGATGCGCTTGCAAGTACTTACAACATGAAGTAGAGACCCCACGAGGAGCCGGAGCCCCAGACATTGGGTGTTACGCCCTTGTACAGGCCACGGAAGCCCTCCTGCCGGAATATGGTGGTAAACGCGCTGCCCAATCCACGGTATTGCGGCACCGTCGCTGTGCGTCCATCATTGACTGCAAACGGAAGAAATCAAACGAAGCTCGTAAATGATAAATGTTTACTCAACAGTCTAGACATTAGGCCTTGTATAACTAAAAGCTAGATACGAGACACGCGTCACTTGTGTAAATACTTCCAGCTGAATAGCTAGCATTACCCGGCTTTGACTGGCTCAAGTATTTGCTTTATCAAATTTCAAATCAGTTTTGAGACCGAGACGGTTGGATTAGCTCGTGAAATTTCCAGAAGTATTTAGAATGTGAGTTTGAGGAAGATTGTATCAGTCAGTGAGTCTTTCGATCCGATCGAACAGTTTTGAATCATTCAAAAGTTGGTTTAAGTAGGTTGGGAATGATTCATGCAACAGCTGTTTTGGCTGGTTTTTTTGGCATATCTTTTTGGGGTACTGTACACGCCAGCCCAGTTGTGAATTTCGGGCCCCGGCTAATGGCCGGCAATAACAAGAGCAGCAATAACAACAACAAGTTGTTGTTTTCGCGGCCAACAGAGATAGCGCTAATTGGTCGGGGCAACGGATGTGATAAGAGTCCAATATGGAAACAGGCTGTCCGAGCTGCGCTGCGGTGCTCGTGCGGGCATTAGCATGACAAGACTATAATTGTGTCTATATTTATTTTTATTTATTGGCAAAAACAACTCGCAACTGATCTGCCCTGACAACAGCGAAACGGAGGCTCGTCTCGGTGTCTATTTTTAAAGGTGCACAGATCTCGACTGACCTTCAGCACAGGAGATCAAAACTTGTGGCCAGACATAATCTGTATTATTCTCGTTGCGAAGAAAACAAGGGAAACTTTAAATCGCATTTGATGTAACAAATAATCGTGTGTTTTCTTCCAATAATATTTGGCTAAAAAATTAGTTGTTGACTGAGTATAAATATGTGTATTTGTATAAAATCGGAACAGCTGATGTTGAACTCTGATCGAGCACACGAATATGTTCGCATGTTCGCAGCGATAAACAAAAAAACAAGCGTCGACGCAGTTGCGCACTTGACAACAACTGAAGTTTCGCACTGCCAGCCAGTTTGATGTAGATATAGATACACATACACACACAATCATGTATGTATGTATGTATTTATGTTGATAAATGTTTCAGTGTTGTGTATCAACTGACAGTTGCCGTTAAAAAATGCTCGATGTACAGTCAACAATGTTGGTCACGTGATATCGAGACCAGCGCAGAAATAAGCAGGCGACTGAGTGCAAGCGACGGGTGTGCCAGACTAGTAGATACCCTGCAAACAGCTAGATACTGAAATAAATGGCAAATTGTATGCAGCTAGACTTTATAAGCTACAAGATAGGCTCAAAAAATAGGTGCTAGTAATAAATATTTATCGTTTTTTTGTTCGCTGCGTGTTAGCGATAAATTGACATCAAATTGAGCTATGGTACGAAGAATTGACTCATCTGTTGATCAGATATAAAATTTATGATTTGTTTTCCCCAGTTTTTTACACACATTTGTTAAGAAGAAGAAGTAAGTAATGCTAAAAAGTGCTTGTAATCAATATTTATCGATTTTTAGGGCAACGCTGCGTGTTATCGATAAATTACTAATTGCGCTGCGAAGCTAATAAACCCCTCTGCTGATCAGATTTAATTTATAGCATTTCTTTGCCCCTGTTACACATATTTGCTGAGCAGTAATCTACACTTTATTGCTCAATTTTCTTGAGTACAGGGTATACTAATATTATAAAGATAAAAACGTTTTCGCAAACTTGCTGACGCTTTGATTTTGTTTTTCCCCGAACCCGCGCGCAGATGCGTCATTCAAACACGCAAACCAAATATATTTATATATATTCTGATCGATAGATGCCGTCAGCATATGCTTTTGCCCGCCGTTGGGTCATGGGCTAATTATCTTTTTTTCATAGTAAATTTTCGCATAAACAACTTAATTTGTTATTATTGTTAAGGCTCTTATTCGTTTACATGACATTCAAATCAAATCTGTAAATATTTACCCATTAAATTGGCGCTTTTAAAGACTTTAACTAAGTAGAAAGCGTTCGACGGGCAAAACAAGACTTTTAATATTGATTGTGAAAAAAATCGAAAACAAAAACAAAAAACCTGTTGTTCCTGTTGTTATTGTTATTGTTGAAAAAAAACGAAATATACGGAAATAATAATGTACTCAATTTTTGCGTGCGGGTCCAAACGAGGACAACTACAAATGCACGCTGATATAACTATACATATATATATATATATATATGTATATATATATATAGTTATGTATGTGAACAACAGCTGAATGCTGAGTCATGTTATGACAATTACAGTAAAAACTCTACCAACGAACAGGGTCCTTGGGCGTTCAACTCCTTTAGCCTTTGCTTAATCAATCCCCCGCCTTGAACTGAAAGTGTTCGCCCAAGGCAGCCTTTACTGTATCTAGCAATTTATCGAGCTTTGCACTGTGCCCATAAACTCAATATCTAAATGGAACTCAATAAAATATATGTGCCAAAATTTGTTCAAGGGGGCGTGTCTTTCTAGTCGATTCTACGTGCGCACGAGAATGCAGATAATGCTTATCATTCTGGAGCGTTGATATGCCGAAAATGTAGCATAATCGGTCAGCAGAATTTTTGGAGGACTTTAAAATTGTTTTTCGCAAGCTGTCAACAGGTCAATAAATAAACGTCAAATGCGAAAAACTCAAAAAGTCTAAGAACAACCAGAGGAAATACCCATTGCTCAGCTTAATGTGCAGCTGCTTGTTTATTTGGTCACGATTCGAATTCCAGACTTGTTTTCCGCAACGCACAAAGTTTTCCATGGAAATTTTCAAACGCAATGAGCAGGCGGCAAACACATGATAAGGGTAGGGTAAAAGTAAGAATAAACAACGCAGTCGAATGCAGTGTTGAGCAATAAAAAATAGCTAGTTCTTGGCAGAAATACAGCCAGATTTGATTTGAATTAAAAGAAGTGGCGGTAAATAGCTAAATGCCCTCTGCAAGTTAGCAAATATCCAGAAGTCGCAATGTTAACCGTTTAAAGTGTTCATCAATGCTCTTTTAAATTGCCAGATTTGACGGGAAAAATCTCGAATTGAGCAACACTGACCAAATGCAGCGCAGAGGACGCAATCTACAGACAAGCAGCCGGCTGCGCTGCGGGTCAGTCACGTGCAAGACGATTGGTTCGTTTTGTATATGTCCAAACAGGGTGTTCGGTATTTAACGGTTCTTTGTTGTACTCACCAGCAAAGCGTATTTTGATGAGATCCAATGGGTGCAGGATAAGCGTGGACGCAACGCCGCCAGAGACGCCGGCAACCAGATGCTCATATTTGACATGGGCAAACACATTGAATTTGGGTGGGCTGCTCGCAGGAGCTGCGTTTGCGTTCATCTTTCTTGTGTTGTGCGTTTCACTCGTTCAATTAACAATTATCTCTCTTTCTCTTTTACTCGTAGGTATATATATATATATTTATATGTATATATATGTGTATGTATGTATTGTATTATTTACAATCTTTGGCTTATAGCTGCTTGTTTGATCTATGGAAAATCAGAGAAACTCGTTACACATGGCCGCAATTCGGGTTGAATTTGTCTTGTTGCTAGGCGCTGAGTTTTTTTGTCTGCTGCTGTTGCTGCTGCTGCTGCTAATGTTGCTGTTGTTGTTGCTGCTGCTACTGCGTATACATTTCTGCCTTTGTTTTGTTACCGAGCACATATTTTCTCTCTCTCTCTCTTTTTGGCAAATCAACTGTAGACTATGTTCAGTTCAAGTTTTTTTTTTTTTTTTTGGTTTTTTTCAATTTTCTTACAGCTACTCTGCAGCTTTAGCACAGAAATTGTTTTTGGCTGATGAAATATATTTCAATCTGAAGTGAGACGAACGCGGCTGCTTCGTTTTCATTAAACGATTATTATTTTAAAAGCTGCTTATGTAATGCCTTATGCATTTCTCTTGATGCCACGTTTGGACTGCTGCTTGCTTGTATTATTTCACTATTGCAAAATACACGTGAAGGCGATTAAATAATGCTAGACTTATTCTCTTTTTCTTTTTGAATGCGCGTGCACAATTTAATTTGTGGCTTTTTCTTACGGTGCGCCCTCACTGTGTGCTCAACCGAACGACGAGGAAAACACGAATGATTCGCCCAACAGCCGATGTGGTGCTTTTGTAGTGCCAATGTTTTATATCGATATATCGATAAGTAAAATGTATCAGCAATTCACGTGTTACCGTTTAATGCGAATGGCATTTGAGGGGGTGGCTCAACAAGTAACAGAAATATTTTTTAAATTTAAAAGCTAAACCATTTATTGGGTAAACCAGTCTTTGGACTTTTCAATGAATGCTCTGTCGTCCGCATGAGTTCGTATGTGCGACTTTAGATGAGCGCTCTGAATAAAGGCTTTCGGGCAGTAGTTGCATTTGTAGGGACGTTCGCCCGTGTGCGTGCGAAGATGTTTTTTCAGCTCGCAGCCACGCATGAAGCCCTTCGGACAGTAGGTGCATCGATAAGGACGCAAGCTGGAATGTATGTGCATGTGGGCCGCGTAATTGAGTTTATCTGCAAAGGTTTTCCCGCAGTGATGGCAGGCATGTGGAACAAGCTCCTTCACAGAAGGACCCCCGCTCCTGTGTCCACGGATGTGCGCCGTATAAATTGATTTGTGCGCAAAGCTATTAGGACAATAGGAGCACTTGTAGGGCAGCTTCCCAGTGTGAATCTGTCGATGAATCTGCAGTTCGTAGACACTGTCAAAGGTCCTGGCACAGTGGGCGCAGTGATGGGTTCGCCTTAATTCGATTTGAGCACTGGAAAGTTAAGAATATCACAAAATGTCAGAGCTTTTACAGATTTTACATACCTCTTTACCGATAGCTGTTTCTTCCGCTGAACTTTGATGATATTTTTATGGTCGTCTTCCTCTGGAAGCTCTATTTTGATGGCTCCTATTTCTATCTCGCCACAGACCATATCTGAAAGGACAGCTTCATATTCCTCATGCTGAGCCGGCTCCTGCTTTATGCAAGCTGGGTTCAGCAAGCTTTCCATATTTAAAAATTACATTTGTTCATTAACTGAAACGTTTCTTTTATTTACATGCGCATTGTTTTATTTTTACTGCAACGATTAAGTCTCAGCTGTGTTGTGTCGGCGTTTCAGGTGAATGTCAGATTGGTTTGTTAAGTATATCAATATTTTAGAGATAAATTGATCGATTCTTGCACACAATTTGAACAGTCTGGCCATAAAGTAATGTAAAGTGTGGCCAGTTTTTAACCGCCTTTAATTCAAAATTCAAATTTGCATATAATTTATTCCGTATCAAATTGTAATTTATACACAAAACTATTTGATTGTTACACAACCGTGTTTTTAGCAAAATAGATACAATATCGACAATATTTTGAAAATGATTCGTTGGTTTCCTTTCATTTATTATTACAAAATACAACTTATTATTAGTTAGAACGAGAAAAATGTTGTTTGTTTTTTGTTTGTTGTTTAATGAAAGCGGCGGCGGTATGCGTATGCCTAATCGTTATAAAAGCTATTGTCATGAATATATTGCCTCAATAGGGGGGTAATCAGTTATGTGTGTATATATATATATATAAATATGTATATGTATATGTATAGAAAAGTATGTAAATTGGTAGGATATAGCATTACTTTTAGATGATTGCAATTTAGTCTATACTTTGATTTTTGTTTTTTGTTTGTTAAATTTACAACAATTTCACATTTCTTGCGATACACAAAAACACAGCTCGCGCAAGGACAGACGGACTCATCCACTGCACTGACTTATTGTTTCGATACGATCTTTTGGGCGCGACTTTTAGGTAGTTCGTTAGGTTAACTATATATTTAAATTTTTATTTATTTGCATTCTTTTTTTTGGCAGGATTCTTTTGTGTGTGTGTGTGCTCTGCTGTTTTTTTAACGTTGATCTGTAATCTACGCTCAACTCATTTTGCTCGTAAAAAGACCTAATATTAAATTATATAAAATAAATAATCGAAATCATAATCATAGACGACGACAACTCTCTCATTTAGCGTGTACAAAATATAAACATTTTCCATTTAAGAGAAATTCAAACGATAACGACGAGCTGCTGCTCCCCTCTCTCTCTCTCTCTAGCTTAACCTTTCCTGCTCTCTCTCCCCCTCTCCTTCTCTCTCTCTCGCTGTATATCTGTCGTCTGGTAAGCTAATCCTCGTCGTGGTGTGCATTGTCCGCCGTTGACGCGGCCGCAGCATGATCATTGGCACTTTCACTGGCATGGCTGCTTTCCGCTGCCGCTGCCGCCGCCGATGTCGCAGCCGCCGCTGCTTTGCCGCTGCCGTTTTTGTTGCTATTGCGGGCATCGGTTTCATCGCCGGCGGCGGCGTTCACCTTGGCCTCTAAGGCACGTATGCGATTCTCCTGTTTGACAATGATCGCCTTCAGCTTGCGTATCTCATCCAAAATGTTGCGATGATCCTTCTCCTAAATAAAACAATTTGGATTAATTTATACAAAGGATAGCTGCTGCCTAATCCTTGAACTCACCGAGAATATCGCTGCGGGCGCACCTCCATCGTTGGACTCGTTGTTGTTCGCGGATGAATGATTGCCACTGGCCAGGCCGCCGCCGCCGCCGCCTCGCGATGCAGACGCCTTGTTCAGTATGTTCGCCTTCTTGCTGACGGACAGCGAATTGTTGCCCGACGAGGAGACGTAGCCACCCTGTACAATGGAGACGCGATCCTGATTAGGTTTATTAGAAACACTGTTCATCTCGGCAACAACAAAAAACAAAGAACACAACAACAAGCGCCACGCAGCGTGCGTGTTAGGGCGTGTGTGTAAGCCGTGAACAGGTGCGTGTGCGTGTGTTTGTTTCGAGTTTTTAAATCACGAGTCCTGCATCGAGGCGATCAAATACTCGGTCAAGCGAGCAAAGACTCGAGCTGTTCGAAAAATAAACCGAGTTCGTTTCGGTTGCGTTCGAGCTCGAACATGTTGCCGACTCGAGCGCTTCGAACTTCGTTTGAACGAATGACTCTTAATGATGCAGGCCCCTAGTTTAAAGCGTGGAGTTAGTGCAAACTGACTCTGTGGGTCTGTGTGTGTGTGTGTTGGCTGAGGAAGCTGGCGAGCAGACGAGACGAGACACAAATAAGGGGCAAGCGGCAAGCAACACAAATGGTAGCCACGCGGTAAAAAGCAAACCGAAAGCCATTGGAATACACTTTTTAAACTTGGGCCAACACGCTTTTCCTGTAGATTCCCTGTACGCTCGGCTCAGCAACTGCGGCACCGAGGCAGGTCGCGGGTCGCAGCGCCCGGAAGCGCAGGTATTCCAATTTGTTAAAGGGAGACACAGCGAGAGTCGGAACGGGGTGCACTTACTTTGAGCGAGAAGGTCAACGGATCGGCATCCTTGCCGGCGATCCATTCCTCGGCTGTGATCGCGGCATCTTCGGCCAGTGTGTCCGGATAGAGATCCTCCTGGAAGAGATCGGATTTGCGGGGCACCGTCATCGATATGACCTGACACAGGCCGTTGTTGTTCAGGCGATAGAACTTGGCGATTTCGCAGGTGGTTACATCACAGCCTCGCTTCGGCATCAGCCCGATGCCACGCTGCGGATCTGGCGTCTGAAATGTGTTGATGTAGTGCACAAACGGAGGCTCCGGCGTCACCTGTCCAAGCAGAGATTAGTCTAGTCGAGAGAGAGAGAATTAATTTGTACGTACCTCAAAATAACGAATCACAGAATCGCCCTTGCCGCACAGATAGATCAGATTTGTGTCCGCATCGTAGAGCGGGAACATGACACCGTTCGATGTGTCCAGCTCGACCATGACAATGGGCTCGTTGAGTGCATCCGGGGCGCGCAGCGAATACTGACGCTCCGAGCTGCGATTGAAGCCGGTGGTGAAGATCAGGCCGTGTCGCAGAAAGATGGCGCGCGTCGCCTTTGAGCCCTCGTGGCACATCGCCTCGCTCTCCAGTTCGCCGCTGCGCGGATCATAGATGCGTATCTTTTTGTCCTTGCACGTGGTGACCAGCTTGGAGCCATCCCAGTTGAAGCAGGCGCTGTACACAATATCCGGATGCGAGTCAATGTGCACAAGGATCTCGCCGGTGCCCACATTCCAGATGACAACCTGTAATAAGAGTCCAATTTAATAATTGCCAGTTTGGGTAACCAATTGCCAGTCGATTATTACCTGATTGTCCGAGCCGGCGGTGAGCAGGACGTTGAGCGCCGACGGATGCCACAGCACCAGGCCGACGCGTCGCTGATGGAACACCAGATCGACGACGGGTTCGGTGAGGGTGCGCGACAAGCCGCCGTCGGGTATTTGCCACACCTTGACCACACAATCCTCCGAACCCGAGGCGATCACATTGTCGTTGTGCGGACACCACGCAATGTCCAGCACTGGACCCTTGTGCCCGCCCACCAGCGGATGATCCGCCGCAATGCGTCCAACCTGAAAATGTAGTTCAAGTTATCAAAAATATGCAATTGTAAATAGAATTTAGGAGGCCACCAACTGGCACGGTTACAAATTTAGAACAAATCCCCGCCCAGAATTAGCAGAGGCAAACTGAGGCAGTTGCGTGAAGTTGGCAATTAATGGCAACACGTGCGAAACACCTGTACATACATTTTCCTAGGTGTGCAGCTCTTACATTTCACAGAATTCTTTTTAATTTCTATTTAAGTGAGTGAGGCTTTAGCTTCAATTTGTGATTAATTTGAGGCGTGACTGTACGCATCTACTATAAATAATATATATATATATAAAGAGGGAGAGTAATTATATATATATAGGGATGGCTTTTCGGCTGATTCAGCCTGAAGAAAATGACTTCGTCTGAGCTGCCGTCGAGTTGCCTGGACAAATTATCGATTTTCCTCCAGTTGCAGACTTTAGAAAAAATGCATTTTTAAATAAGTTTTGAGCTGAGTTTCCACCAAAAACTTGATAAATTAGGCTTATGCAAGCGTCTACCTACCAAATATTGGGTCTAGCTCTTAAAATCTACGATATATGCTTAAAAATTGGCAGCTATCGATATCGATATTTATCGATTTACTAACACAAGAGTCTAGACTTAAAATATTGGATATAGCTCTTAAAATCTACGAGATATGCTTTAAAATTTTAGTTGCAGCTATCGATATCGATATTTATCGATTTACGGAGTTATCGTAAATTTGAAATAAATTTAATTGGCCAAGAAAATGACCCTGTCTGAGCTGCCGTCGAGTTGCCTTGACAAATTATCGATTTCCTCCAGTTGCAGACTTTAGAAAAAATGCATTTTTAAATAAGTTTTGAGCTGAGTTTCCACCAAAAACTTGATAAATTAGGCTTATGCAAGCGTCTACCTACCAAATATTGGGTCTAGCTCTTAAAATCTACGATATATGCTTAAAAATTGGCAGCTATCGATATCGATATTTATCGATTTACTAACACAAGAGTCTAGACTCAAAATATTGGATATAGCTCTTAAAATCTACGAGATATGCTTTAAAATTTTAGTTGCAGCTATCGATATCGATATTTATCGATTTACGGAGTTATCGTAAATTTGAAATAAATTTAATTGGCCAAGAAAATGACCCTGTCTGAGCTGCCGTCGAGTTGCCTTGACAAATTATCGATTTCCTCCAGTTGCAGACTTTAGAAAATTTCTGTTTTAAATAACTTCCGAACTCCAAAAACTTGATAATTTAGGCTAATACAAGAGTCTAGACACCAAATATTGGATCTAGCTCTTAAAATCTACGAGATGTGCTCTTAAATTGGCAGCTATCGATATCGATATTTATCGATTTCGTATGAGTTATCGAACATTTGAAATAAATTGAATTGGTGTATGATCAAATTAGAGTCTAAATGCCAAATAAGCTGGCATAAAAGTTTAAAAGCGAATGTACTGCATTTTATACCACCATGGGTTCATAATACAATACGATCTGGCTGATAAAGTCCAGGAAATGGGTTTAATAAATATATGAACTTATTGACGATTTCCCCAATTGATTAAAATTAGATGAGTGCCGAAAAGTTAGGCAGTAAAAAGCAATGCGAGCTAACAGAGGCATATTTATGGGCAAGATTCTATAGCTATAGGAACTTCCTAGAGAATTCCTAGAATTCCTAGCTATATCTAATGATATATGGTAGACACTCCAAATTCGTCATATTTAGGGGCAAGTTTCTATTACAAAAGGAACTTCTTATAGAACTTCTAGCTATATCTTATGATATATGGAAAGCGCGTCCATTTGATGGACACTCCAAATTCCGCATATTTAGGGGA